AAGCATCAATACTGTTAACATACTTTTTACTAATTAATCCTATCCAAAACACCGTTTGATGCGACAATATAGTGGATGTAAGCCTAGTCTACAGAGGAGACAATTCAGGCCACAACTCAGTTTGGATTGCAGCTTTGTTGTCAGCGTGGAAATAAGGACGATTTTAAGGCAGTTTAAAATGATGTGTACATACACACGCACATAAATCCAAAGAATCAGCGAAAAATAAAACTGTGTAAAATATAAACTCTCATTCAACGAGATAAAATTTGCTACTGCACTGTGTTGGACTACGTGACCAATAACAAATGTAAATAAAACAAAATATTTACTTTAAGTACCCTCAGTATTAAGCAGGATGTTGCTGGGTAATATTGAAACACACGAAACAATTGCATACTTTTCGTAGATATGTTTTCTTATGTCGCCTTCGGTGAACAAGTGGTTAGCGTGCTCGCCGCTGGACCCAAGATACATGGGTTCAAAACCTGGGCGCGGTCGATGGGTTTTAAGGAGTAATAATTTCCTTCGGAGGGGAAGTAAACCGGCGGTCTTATGCCGTAGATTTACGGCATGTAAATGAACTTTACGAGCATGAACGAGATGTTTCGTAAGCAAAATTCAGCGGCCATTTCTCGCCAAAGTCTCTCTCTTCTCTACTAGATGTCTCTAGCAGGAAAATCAGGATTGAGTAGAAATTGTGCAGAGGCAGTGGGCTTGTCACTCACTACTCACAAATGCGCATTTCAAAGAGTAGAAAACTTCCGAAGGGAGGCGGTAAAGGCCCTCACTGGGTTATAAAGACAAGGAAGAAGAAGTGTCTTCTCTTATATCTTTTATTTAAATTTGCCGATTTACTTTTGTTTTATTTGGTATCTTATAGACTTTTATAAAGGGAGGACTAATTAAAGAAACAAAAGACATTCGAAAGCTTTAGTTGTCCCTGGGCTTGCTTAAAGACAATTTAAAATACATAATATCGCGTCTGTGTGTTGATGAAACTGGGATACAATGATGAAAGTCGTCCAAAAGAACCTACAATTCTTTCGTAAGGAAAACTCCATTCAAAATTCTGACACGCATTTCTGTACATTAAATCATGCAGGTACAAATTTAAAGTTGAAAAATCTTACACTAAATTCAGCAACTGTAAATGTGCAATTTCCTTATTTGTTTGTTTGTGTGTGTGTGTGTGTGTGATATTTAAAGAACGTTGTGTACAGTAACAAGTAGAGCTGCCATTGCATTTCTTTTAAAATAATGGTCATTCACTCTTTAATATACACAACGGTGCAAAATCCAGGACACACTTTAAGTCACAACGTATATAGAATATGCTTTTTCCTTACTACCTTACATTTAATTTAATTAATTTTCTTGTTTGTCGTTGCAAATATCTTTAAAAGCTCACATACAAATGCTCTTTTATTTTAATAATTCACGATCGTTGCCTTCCGAGAACTGAGTTACAGCTGTTGTATTATGACTTTTGCATCATTCAATAATAGAACAGACATGTATTCGGAAAATCATAATGAGCACTCTGAGTCATGGATATTTATGAAAAAACTGATCTTTAGTATTAACCAAACAATAAAATAAGGTTCAAGTTATAGACATCCTAATTAACATAAAAGATCACCAAATAAATATGATTTTTAGTACGAAGATGTGTGGAAATACACACTATAAGTTTATATTAATAAAAGCAGGAGAAGGGTAAGAGTAGTAATAAATAAAACATGTAAAGGAAATTTCTGAATATGACCCTTTGCTCTGGACAAGCAGTTTTAAAGTAGCAAATGTATTATGTTATTACAGACGTGATGTAACTAATGGAAGTTAAGTACATCAAGGACAAATTCCTTATTTACACAATCAAAATCGGTCATCAGTACAAGTTTCTTGCTAACACTCATGTGGCCATTTATTATTAGAAAACGATGGCTCATAATGAACGTATCGACACCATTTTGGCTAATGAAAATTGCCGTAGCAATGACATGAATAGCAAACATTCATAATTTAATGTTTGTAACAGAATCTAACACCATTTAAAAGTCAGTTAGAATGAGAGGTTTCTGACGCGTGTGTTGCATCAACCAAACACAAATTTAATTCAGTTACATTTGAAGCCCAGTATATTTTACGATACTAAATACATTGTCATAAATGGCACTATTTTACATGTGTATTTTCACACTGACCCTTGATAAATAATAATGTACGGAACCTAATATAATATATTTGTGAACACACAAATATCAGCATATAGCAGAGCTAGACAATTATTGACTTTGAAACACAAAATAATCTATTTATAATTCTCAATTCTCTTTCAGGTTTAAACACAATATTATTAGTATTTATGTGGTAATTCAATTAGGTTCTACAGTATTCGTAATTGTATTAAATCAAAGCATATTCGGTAAATAAAATTAACAAATAAGAATTTAAGAGACGCTACCACTGAGATCAGTAGCAAGCTATAAGCCTATCATTTTACAAAACAAGAAATTTAAAACTTTAAGGCAATCGATTAAGACAATTTGTAATTAATACTTTAGGGGGAAACTTTTAAAGGTGAATGAGGATAAGGATATAATATATTACATTATAAAGAGGTTTTACGGTAATAAATGCGGCAGATGTCAATAACTAATCAAATATCCCATGCATTTAAATGTGGGGTTCTTTCATTAACAAGACAAACTAAGAACAGTTCACCAATATGTCAGTTTTTTTCAAACCTTGTAGCACAGGGTATAAAAAAGCAAATATGCCTAATTACGACAGTGAAGCATACTGCGTGTTCACGTTTTATAACCGACACCAAACAGAGAATAAGTACGTATTTAAACACAGTTCTACTCAATCATCATTAGCTGAATTCTGTGAAGTCAAGTTTACCTTATAAGCACCAAGATCATCTACTACACACATCAGGGTAGCTTCGCGTCCCACGGGCACTGTCACGTTGATGATTGGCTCGCCAAACTTGGGCATGTCTGCAACGCAAACATGAGAAAATATTACTCTTCTACCTGACGGGTGTTACAGTAGCATACAGCAAAGCAACTTATAAATAAAAATGGTATTCACGTACGAACTAGAGGAGTAGATATTTAGGCTACAGTTGTACCAAATAAGAATTTAAACTACTACACTACAACAAATACATTTTCGTTCTCTAAAGGTTTCTGACAATGAATGTTTCATTTACAAATATCATACTGTATAAAATCCACTGTCTGGTATGTACTTAATATAAATTTTCAGGTGCGTTAAAAACAACAGGTATTTTGTTCGTGATCTAAAGTTATGAGAGATTATTTGTTTTCGTATTTGAATTGTAACTTCGTGTGGTCTTGAGGGTCGTGACCAACTTTTTAGAGTAACATTCAACCTTCATCTATAGGGTAGAAAGAAACTCTGAGGATTGAGGCAGTGAAACATCTGTAACCATGTAGAAAGCACATAGAAATCTACATGATACCAGACTTCAGACCAAAATCCGTAGACAGGATCGTTCGTTTTTGGCATATTTAACGACGGTGTGTCAAATATATGTGCTACAGTATGATTACAGGTTCTTGCGGTGGAGTTATATGACCGCTGTCTTCTGCTTTTTAGCGCCGTGTACTCTGGTAGATTATTACCAACATTTCAAACGTTCTTGGATCCCCTACTGTTATTGCTCCCCGATGATAGAGGACCTCTAAATTACTGATAAACATCTCCTAGATTACTTGTCTCTATAACCCAAATGACAGCCATCTTTACAAGCCAGACATTATCGAATGACAAATGGCAAAACCATTATAAATAACGAATCTAAAAATATGTGGTATACAGCTTATATTAAGACAATCTAGGTTAATTTACGCGGAGGACCTGAGTCATAACATGGAAATTCAATCAAGAGTGGTTCACTATGTTATAAGATTAGGTTCTTTTAGCCGATAAGCTCACGATGTTGGTTTTCTGGGTTGTGACTCTGCGTGAAGTTGTAGGTGGACACCAACGCTTCGGAGGAACATAGACTCTCCATCTTTAGCCGTAAGGGCGGAAGCAGTGCGAGTATGGTATTTACATACACGGTTACATACCGTCACACACCAAAGACCAACGTCGACACAGGTTAAATAGTTCGCCGCCAAAGTTTTAACCCATTAAAACACAGTTGTAACCACATGTTTCACCTCCTTTAACTGCCATAATGCTGAAGTTTTGTTTATGGATTTCACATTATTCTCAGTATGAATGTAAGAACATCTAAACATTTGACGTGTGAATGATAGTTATGACATTTAATGCAAGAATTGACATTTTAAACTGCTTAAAGTTTTTTTAAAATATTACGTCTTTTGCCAGGATTGTGATGTCTTTCAAATTAAAATTAACAGTATCAATTAATTTATCTTTTTGGTGGAGACGGTTCTCATTGTCTTTGAGGTATAAACTAAATTTTGAAATATTGTTTAGATTAGCATTTTGCTGCATTGTAATTAATCTCAAATTATTTTTTACTATTATAAAATTGTACTTTTGAACAATATCCTCAACAATATCTTTAACATCTTTGTGTATGCAGCTTAAAAGGAATGAAAATTAAATTATTGTTCTACAAAAGCAAAAACTATTTGCTTCCCGTGTGAATATATTAATTCATTTCATTGTAATGTTCCGGAAATCGGTGAAATTTACTACGTTACAAGATGTGACTGTGTAATTTGTGTCACTGTCCAGAATAAAATGATTTATAGATGTCTGATAGGCCACAGTCTGTTTGGACTGTGTCTACATTTGCATTGTAGTCCAATGTTGTAATTCGGAAATCAGCTTATTGTACCACTTTAGGCGAATATCAATGCCCAGCCCCAGAATATTCCCGTCTGTCAACAGCGATTAGCTTAAGAGCTTATCAGATAGTGAGATCGTTTTCTGTACTGTTGGCTTGGCACGGAAGAGTCTAATAACACAACCCAGTACTACTGATTCTATCTTGTTCCATCGGAATGGATTCATGAGTTTCACCAGTCTTCCCAATAAATACGAATATGTGAACAGAAACAGTAAATCAAATCTAAAACTTCTTGACGATGGTGAAGAGTCAATTGAATAAAAATTTTCTTGGATATTATCCATCGTCTAGTAAATATAAAACGTAAAACGACGTTTCGGAGATGGGACTCTATCTCCGTCTTCAGGTTTATACACAGTTGGGCCCACTAGATAGAGCTAATCCCTATCTCCGGACAAAGTAAAAAAGTAAAAGTCTCGGAATAACAGTAAAGTTTATTACAGGAATTTCAAAAAAGATCTTCTAAAAATTATGCTTGTTAGATATGGTATTATATCTCACATGTCTGTGATCAAATTCTATTTTTCTAACACGTAAAGAGAGTTTAATAAGGTCTAATTGTCTTGCACACAATTTAGAAATAATTTTTGACGATTAGTGCGTTTAAGGTTGAATTTTCTTTGGCATTGACAAACAAATACTTCTCTGATTGCTTTGCTTATATTGTGTTGTTTTCAAACGGCTTTAAATTGTTCAGAGCTAGATTTTTACATAGGAGAATTTTAAACCAATCACCTTTTCTGTTCTTGGCAATTCGGTATTCTCTACAGCAGTAGTATTCAAACATTTTTGTTCGCGTACCCCCAGATATAATTTCTCTTCCAACTTTGTAACCCCAAAGTTGTTGGTGTATAATTCAAGTTATACATAGTATATAATCTACTTCTAAAATAAATTAAATAAATTACATTACTGATTATTCAGTGTTTATCATAAAATAATTTTTTTTCAAATTTCACGTACCCCCTAAGATGTCTTCGCGTACCACCGGGGGTACGTGAACCCCAGGTTGAATACCACAGCTCTACAGCAGTGGTATTCAACCTTTTTTGTTCGCGTACCCCCAGATATAATTTCTCTTCCAACTTTGTAACCCCAAAGTTGTTGGTGTATAATTCAAGTTATACATAGTATATAATCTGCTTCTAAAATAAATTAAATAAATTACATTAATGATTGTTTAGTGTTTATCATAAAATAAAATGTATATTTTTAAATTTCACGTACCCCCTAAGATGTCTTCGCGTACCCCCGGGGGCACGCGTACCCCAGGTTAAAGACCACTGCTCTAGAACACTCAACTAACAACAATTAACCAACGATAGTCTTGTGTATGATCACAAACTTCCACGGCGACTAAGTATAACGAATTCATCTCTGACTACCAGCCGTGTCAGGTGGTTGAATGGGAGAAAAAGCACCAACGTTTCGACAACCATCTTGTCCTCAGGGTACTGAAATTTTAACTTTATTGAGCTCATTTAGCAATGTGCATTTAGTAAACACATAATAGGAACGTAGATTTTGTCCGTTCTCCTGTGTGTTTATATCAGAAACTCTTAGTTTTTAACTAAGAGTTTCTTTAATTACCTTGTTTCCGTTAATTAAGAAACTACGTTTAGGCTTACACACAGTGGTTAATTTTGATACATTTTCTTTATTCAAATTGTTTAAAATGAATGTAATGAAGTACATGTGGAGCCTGTAATAGAGTCGACTGATATATCATGGATAAATATTTTATTCTATACTTATTGTAAACTGTTTTATTAAATAACTATAAGATGTTACTTAAATTGTCACGGCCGTGTGAACGAAGATGATTGTCTTCTTTTTGGCGATAAGCCAGACTGATGACGGAGGCAACAAGGAGCTCTGAAACTTTGGTAAGGTGCTACAAGGCAGAAGACAGCCATCTTCATTTGAAATATTGTGTCAATGGTCAGGACGTGGTCTACTGTTAACTTGTGTTTGTCGTAACGCTTTGTTGCACAAATTCTTCTAGATGGCAGCACGACATCTGTACGTAAACGAAATAGTAATTGTCCATTGAAACGTCAGATGTCACTGGTTTTCTGTAGTTTCTTGTACTTTATTTATTGCAGAGTGTGACTTGTACCTGTTAAGACGCGTGCTTAATTTGCTATTTCTGTTGTGTTCTCGTTAGTTTTGTTTTTTGTGGTTGTGGAAAATGTTAATTTGTGTATGAATGTGTTAAAAAACTAGCTGTATCGTGTAACGTAGCCTATAGTGAGATTAAACAATTGTGCTTGGACGTATAGTATGGAAGTAATTCCAAGCGCAAGATACGTACAATAGAAGATTATTTGTTACATTCAAAGACGATAATGATTCATCGAATATTAGTGGTGAAAAATGCTGTATTCTGTCGTGAAATTATAGTGTTGGACGGCATGATCAAGAACTGAATTACATAGAGGTAAGTAGTACCGTGTAGTATCTTCAGCATTTCTTGCTGCTGTAGTGAACTCTATGTATTTTGTTACCAAAATGAATATTTCTATATTACTTTGTTTTCGAAGGACAGAGGGGGGCATGCAACCGTTATATTCTTGTACCCTATTCAATGGACGTGAAATAATCTCTTTAAGTATCCGTTGGAATAAAACCCCACTATATGTCTTAATTTAATCGTTATGTTATTATTTTTATTCGATGATTTTAGTTCATCATTGATTTAAATTAGGTGAATTATGTTCTGTGCAAATCTAGAATACCTCTAGAAAATACGCAGTCCCTTTGTCTGCTCAAAATTAAAATAATTCTTGCTATGACCAGAGTACGTGGTACACTGTGAGCTGGCTGGGTCTGGTTTCATATGCTAAAGCTATTCTTGTTCAAGGTCAGAAAGGTATATACAACCTACGTCTCGTTCCCAAAGTCCATCTGCCTTCAAGCTGCATTTTATTTATGTGAACATTACCTTGTTCGTATTCTGTATGAAAAACACGTAGTCATATTTTTTAATTAAAGTAAAATAACAGAATATACCGTTACTTTTAACAAATGAAACATGTATTTCTTCGTCTTTAAAAAGCCATAAAATATACAGCATGTCAAATATATAGGTAACAATTCACCAACTGATCAATGAGATATACTTTATGCTCTTCGAGATTTTGT